GGGGGGGGGCTAGGGTTGCAGTTCGAAGTTGCAGCTTACATGTTCCAACCTCTGGGCTTGCGACGCTGGCCAGTGGTGGTGGTAGTAGTAGGTTCCACAGACTGAGCCCTTATCGCTTGTTTCTTGGTCGGGGTTTTATAGGTGACGCTGCAGCGCAGCACAGTGTGAGTAGTCTAAGGAACTATCAGTCCCCTAAGTCCTGGGACTGGGCTGCAGCAGTGCCCCTGCAAGTTCCAAGGCGGACTAAACTAAGGGCCTGGCCCGGCAGGCTTGCTGAATTTTGTATCTTAAGATTACACTAGCGTTTTCCGTTAAACGCCAGTGTAATTTTGGGAAGAAGCTCCATAAATTACACTCTGTGTATCAGCCCAAGATAACCAAGGTAATTTGAATCCAGATTGTAAAAAATTTCACTGCCGTTTTCCGGAAAACGCCAGTGAAATGTTTGGCCATTTTGGCGCAAAATTACCTCCAGGCCAGCCATTCTGCCTGCAGGTTTTGGTTCGTGCTCTGGCTCAGCTAGTCAAAAGTAAGCCCAGCAGCATTTCCTACAGAAGTTAGCTTGCTTAAGCTAACTCAATGTCAACCTAAAGTAATTGTTCCTATTGTAGGTTGAATCAGCAATGCTCTGCAGTTTGTTTGCTGTTGATCTATGGTTCAACCAACTTTCGCACGGCAAAGACCAGCTCCTGATCCACTTACTTCAACTAACTCTCTCCTAGGCAAGACCGCTTGACGGCCCTGAAAATCGTACATTATTTCTAATTTCCAATTACAGATACTTTTTCCGCCCACTTTCTGTGCTGTCTGCCTGTGTAGAAGCCATGGCTACGCAAAACTTGAATGAACTCATACAACATGCGCAGAAGAACGCAGACACCGTGTCTGGCCTGGAGGTGCTCACTGTGCTGACGGGGAAGGACCGTCCTTGCGTGCTGTGTACCAGTCAGCACTTGTTAAATTAGGAGGGTCGTGTCGCCGCCTGCGTTGAAATGTGTGCTCGCACGACAGGCCAAGACCCTGTTGTTGGGGACGCTGAAGAAGCTCAAGCTAGTGCCTGATGCTGTCAAAGATGTGTCCCAGGCTTCGCCCTTGGAGTTGCCGCAGGCTGACACAAGCGCGGACAGAACCAAGGCACGCAAAGTAATGCCGGGCACTTCTTACAAGGAGATGTGGCGTAAGTCTAACGCCCGTCTTAGCCTGACGAAAAACTCCGTCTATGAAGCTGGTGGCTCGGCGCTATGGGCTTCATTTTGTCCTTCCGACAAAGTGAGTCCGAGCGTGACTGACGCCGATCCGTCTGACATTTTGGCTGGGGATGTTGGCACGTGGCACCAGCTACAGACAGCTTGCAGCCTTTTCAAGCCGAGTGTGGAGCAGCCTTCCCGCATTATGTGGCCAGTCACCCTGCAAGTCGCCTGTCGATCCATTGATGAGGTTTGCCCGCCAGACACTGAGTATCCAAAAACTTTGAAGCTGCTATGCAACCATGTGGTGCTGGGAGCTTGGTGGATCAAAATGTATGAGGCGCTGCAAGCAAGCGATGACAACCTGGTGGCCATGCTTTGGGAATGTGCTTTGACGTGTACCATCCGTGTGACGTTGTGGGTGTCTGACGTGCACGTGGTGAAGATAGCCATGTCAGCAGCTGAGGAGAGCAGGACTTTGGAGGAGCTCAACGAGGACCTGGTGACCTTCGCCTTTCGACTGGGCACGGTCACAAAACAGTACAGCAAGCTGACCATCCCGCAGATTTTGGACAAGTTGAAGGCCGACCGCGTGACCTGGATGGGCAAACCGGTCACGAAGAATCACATGGCCGCTTGTGAGCTGTTTGTGAAGTGCCTGTCGGCCAGATCCAGGAAACTCCTCTCCGCCCTGTCCAGCAAGCATGGGCGCAAGTTTCTCCTTGATGGGCCCACGAAGCTGTACCGTATCATCGTGGCTGTGAACAAGTTTGTGGCCTCTTCGAAAGTTCGCCTTATCGCGTCTGACGTCCTGGAAATGGTTCTCGCCTGTCTTGCAACTGCGCTGGAATCGACCTCTTTGACAGCGGAGGCCTGCACCTCCCCGTTCCTGACAGGAAAGGAAGGCAGCAAGGTGACAGAGGGAACGTGGTGCGGCGCAGCGCTCACTGGCGTCGCAGTCGGCCAACAAGCTCGCAATGTCATCGCGCTCATGCAGAACGACGCGGTGACAGAGGATTTCAAACAGACTGTAGAAGTAATGGTTAATCCTGTTCTTTGGCGGCAAGAGTTGATCAAAAAAATCCAGGACAGAGTCTCGGTTTTTGTTGTAGGCCTCTCACGCATGCGTACTTTGTTCTGCGAAGCATTTTGCTCCTCCGTCTTCCAACTTGGGCAAGCAGGAAGATGGTGGTGACGCCCCGTATGAGGCTGCCGCAAAGGCGCTTGTCGAGAGCCTGAAGCAGAAGTTACTGGGAAGCAGCCAGTGCTTCAAAAAACAAGAGCCGCTGATTGACTGGTGCTTCTCCCTCGCGGACAACCAGCTCCACGCGGACCTGAAGACATTGAGCACTGAGGAGGTGGACTTGGGAGAAGTTCTCGATGAACACAGCAACACGGTGCTCAAAGAACTACGCGAAGCTTTGGCGTGCCTGACGTCTGACGGGACGGAGGTCAGCGCAAGCATTCTTGGGGCTCCTTTGATGTCTTGGCGCCAGCTGGCAAAGTGCAACTCAGATGCGCTGAATCCGTCTGACGAGCTTGCAAACGCAGCAAAGATGGAAGAGAGAGAGGCGCGTTGACTTTGGATCTTTCTACTTAAAAAGAATATGGCTAGTGTGTTCTGACTTCTAGTGTTGCTGATGATAGCTATGTGCTAGGCCATCTGGGAGAAGGCCGTCGCCGTGCGCAAGACGCTGCTGTCTTTCGATTACTACAAGGCCTGGAAGAAGGACAGTATACAGAAGCTTTTCGACGCTTCTGGCGCAGCGTCCTTCACGGGCGTGGCAAACGAGAAGCATCTCCTGGTGGTTGTCAGCGCAGATTGTTGCATGGACGAAGCCCGCGGGTGGTTGGGCCACTGCAATGGCAAACCCAGCCACATGGATTTCTTCAAGGAGCGCGTCAAGTTCGCGCTGGAGATTGCGAAGAACCGGGCGAACACTCTTGGTTTCTTGTTTGACGGTCGATCCCGCGACTGTCGCCGAGCGATTGACGCCATCACGAGCAAGCACGATTACCTGGCCGAGCTTGACATAACATTCGTTGGCAAATTCAACAAGGCTGCTACACGCAAGGTGTTCGGCTCCCAGTTAAACCACGAATGTTGCCATTTGGTTTTCTCTCAGCCGCGCACAGCGTACAAGTGCGTG